ACGCCCAACTGGGAGTGCATACACGCCACCCGCGTACCCTGACTGACTGCCGGCGCGCATTGCCCGCTGCGTGCGGGCACGGCAACCACGGCTGATCCTTACCGGCCGTCCAGCGACTACCTCCGGCAACATCAACATAAATCAACATGATATAGCATAATATGACCAGATATACTCAATTTGCTCGAAAATTAAGAACTTTACTCGATGAACTAAGATGGGCCGTGGCATGCGCTACGTGCGTAGCCTACGGCTTTGTGCCAATCCCTCGAACAAATGACAACCTGTCTCGACAATTATCACTTGACTGAACATTATATACCCAATAATGGCTAATGAAACATAAAACACTCCGGAGTTACCGCATGAAAAGGGACATAGCTCGGCATAGCTTAACATGGCATAAACCAAGCATAACTTGGTCTTTCATGAATCGAAAGACATGAATTGAACATAGTAAACCTAAAATGATCATATTAACATTAAGAGAAGGTTAGGACGTGATTATCTCCTCAAATGCTCGATCAATTGTGCGTGACTCCTTGCAATCGCACAAGAGATAGACTACGGATTCTCGCTCGGTGTGTAGTAGTGCGTGTGCTAGCCCTCAGTTATGTCCTCATGCAAGCTTCCTCATTATTTCCCTCATTATGCCCTCGGTTGTACTCGATTTTACTTCTCATTGCTATGACATGCACATGAACTAATTTTATATCTACCTCTCGGCTTTCTTGATTTAAGGTTAAGTTTAGGAGTGAATTTATGATATATATATAGTGTAGTAATATAAACTCAACTCCATGTGATGTTGGAATATATGTATCATAATAAAGTGGATAAAAATAATGGGAGGCAAAGGACACCTTTTAATATCATAAGGACACATGTCCACTAAAGAAACGTGAGTGGCAATATACAAGCCTACTCAACTTATGAGGTGTCAAAACCTTATAAATCATACTAAATAATAATCTTGACTTATGATAATAATTTGGAACCAATAAAACTTACTATGCTAAATTGCTCACGACACTTGGGCATAGGTGCAATACTTTAGATGTTCATGCGCCAGTATTCACGTGTACATGTCTTGGGTTTCCTAATGCTTACTACACTTATACATATATATATGCTTGATACTTTAGAAAATTTTCAATCGCATATATGAACTCAACTAGGGTTTGACTCGACCAGTTTTTCTCGGTCTCGGTCGCGGCTTGACTTTCGGCGATTAATTCGAATATATCGACTTCGAATAATACGTCGACTTGAACAAATTAATCCCAACTTACTAATGTCTATTTATTAAATAAACGGACTGAAATTAATTACTAGAACTGGCTCGGTTAATAAATAAAATTAACCAGATATACTTTCGACTTAACGTCGAATTTGGAATTTAACTGATATTTATTAACAAAGGCTATCTTATACTCGAAAGCTAGTATTTTCCTTTATTAATAAATCTGGGGTGTTACAATCCACCCTCCTTAAAATATTTCCGTCCTCGAAAATACTAAAACTGGAAGTACAAGCTTAACTCGAAGCTTATACTTACTGATGACATAAACTTATAACTCAATATATGAATACTGAGCTTAGACTTTGCTTTTAGCTGAAGAGCCGTCAATTCACAGTAATTTAGTGAACTGGTGATTAATACTGGATAAAATAAGAACACCTTATTGAATAAAAGTGTTCCACTGATTACAATTGATACTCAAAACATAGTTGTTGAGCGCAATGGTCATCACCTCCTAGCTGATTGTTGGTCTTCGGCCTGGACTTCGGTTGTGAGACCCAAGTCGTGTGGTACGCATGGAAGATTTCAGAGACACGCATATGTACAAATGAGGACAACTAGAAATCTCGGTAACTACCTGTCGTGAGCAT